AACATTGGAGGCTGAACTTCAGAAACTGTTACCTCATGATGCTCTGGAGGTTGAGCTACAACTTCGTTAGGGAGCTCCGAAGGCTGAGTTGGGGCCTCCTGCTGGGGTGAAGAAGGTGCCACACCATTGACTGTCCCTGAGAGCTGAGCCTCTTGGTAGATTGAAGAAGTTCCCACCTGTGTAGTAGGCTCTCCTGCTATGGTGAGCTGCAGATCTGGAGATGTAACATTGGGCAAATCTGAATGTTGAATTTGATGGTTATCTGGAGGTGAAACTGTTACTTCATGATGCTCTGGAGACTGAGCTGATTGTTCCTGCCAGATTGGAGGAGGTTCCACCTCCTCAGGGTGTTCTGAAGGCTGAGCTGGAGACTCCAGCTGGGCTGCAGAAGATTCAGTCTCCTTGGTAGGCTTTGAAGTTATGGTAACCTCCACAACCGGAGGTTTAACTATAATGTGGGGCAAGTTATAATGATGAGGTTGAACTGTCACCTCATGATTTCGTGGAGTTTGAGCTATACTGTCTATGGGGGACTCTGGAGCTTGAGCTATGGCCTCCTGCTGGGTCTGAGAATGCTCACTCTCCTCAGGAAACTCAGAAGGCTGAGCTGGCTGCTCCTGCTCACTGGGAAAAGGTTCAGCCTCCACAGGAAAGCCTGCAGACTCAGCTGGGGTCTCCTCCTGAGTGGCAGAAGGTTCCACCTCTACTAGATGCTCTGGAGGCTCAACTGGGGCCTGCTGCTGGGTTAGAGAAGATTCAGTCTCCTTGGTAGGCTCTGAAGTTATGATAACCTCCACATCCGGAGGTTTAACTGTAACATGAGCAAGTTAAAATGATGAGGGTTCCTCACCAGGAGGTTGAACTGTTTCCTCATGATTCGGTGGAGTTTGAGCTATACTCTCCACAGGGGACTCTGGAGGTTCAGCTGTGGCCTCCTGCTGGGTTTCAGAAGGTTGATTCTCTCCAGGAAACTCAGAATGCTTAGCTGGCTGCTCCTGCTCACTGGGGGAAGGCTCAGCCTCCACAGGAAAGCCTGGAGAATCAGCTGGGGTTTCCTCCTGGGTGGCAGAAGGTTCAATCTCCTCAGGGAGCTCTGGTGTTTGAACTGGGCCTTCTTGTTGGGTTGAGGGAGGTTCAACCTCCTCAGGAGCTTTGGCCTCTTGTTGGGTTGAGGAAGGTTCTCCCTCCTCAGGGTGCTCTGGAGGTTGAGATGGGGCCTGCTGCCGACTTGGAGTAGGTTCAGTGTTGTTACCTAGCTCTGGAGTTACTGTAAGCTCCAGATCCACAGGTTTAACTGTGACTCTGGACAAGACTGAGTGCTGAGCTGCAGTCCAACCTGGAGATGAAACGTTCACTTCATGATGTATTGACGGCTGAGCTACAACCTCTTCGGTATCAGGTAGCTACTGAGCTGGGGCCTCCTGCTCTGCTGAAGAAAGTTCAACCTGCTCAGGAGGCTGTGGAGGCTGAGCTGGGAACTCCTGCTGGGTTGAAGAAGGTTCTACCTCCTCAGAGGATTGTTCTGGGGCTTCTTGCTGGAATGAAGAAGACTGGATCTCCTTAGGGGTCTCTGGATTTTGAATTTCATCCTCTAGATGGAATTGAGAAAATTCAGGAGGCCCTGCAGGCTCATCTAAGTTCTCTAGGAATTCCAGAGGTAGGCCACCAGGATAAACTATATCTGTACTTGGATCTAGATAATCACCATCCCGTAGAGTTTGTTTTTGATGTTGAGGTTTTGATGCAAATTGATTTGAAGTTCCAAAAACCACCTTAGTAAGTCGTTGATGCTAAGCTAGGTCTTTCTTTAGGTTCTTTGGTGAAATAATAAACCTTGTTGGTTTTGAACTCTGACTATCTAGAGGTGGAACAAATATTTCCAATGCCCGGTGGTCTGCAGCCTGATCTAGACCTACAGCTTCAATCTTACTTCTCAGTTGAGCAGGTAGAGCTAGGACTCGAGTCTGATCCCAACCTGGCACTGGAACCACCTCCGGGAGCCTTCGATGTCGAGTCAGCTTGTCACTGAGATCCCGATGTGGAACAGCAAACGGATCTGGCCCTGGCGGCAGCTCTTGAGCTGAATGCGTGTCCAGGAATGGAGCCGAAGTCTCAGTCAACTCCCGAGGCGGGGCCAACATTTGGGAAGAAGCAGAGGACCCCAGGTAAGCAAAGCCCTCGGGGTCTGCCGAGGGTGGAAGCGCGTGGGGCAATTCGGGTGGGAGATCAGAGGAGTGGGAAGACCAGGGCCTGGTGGGTCCTGGGGGGTTCGGAGGTCAGCCGGACCAGGTCCCAGGCCCACTCCAGAAGCAGAGCTGCCTGGACCAACAGCCACAAGGATTGCCACGTGAGAAGGACCCGTAGGGTCCAGAGGCGCAGTAGAGACATGACGTGCGAAGGCTCCAGCGCGAGTGGGAGCCGAAACACTTATGGCATCTCTGCCGCGCGAGTCCCTGTAGCAACCGCGTGCCCTGCCCCGCCGTTTATCTATGACACCTTTATTTACGCAGCAGCCTTTATTTAGCTCAGGCCCAGATCGGCTCCATGCTATCAGGGGAGATTTTCCCCACAATCACTGGACCCAAGCCTCTCTTCCCCTGCAGAGGTACAACTGTCCCCCACAGGAACACCAGTACCCCCTTAGCGAGGCAGGATTTGGGCCACAGACCTGGGTGGCCCCAGAACTCCAGCAGCCCATTGTGGTAGGGATGGCTGAGATTTCCAAGGAAGTCCCAAGGCCTCGCCTCTCCGTACATTCAGAAGTGCTAGTCCAGTTTTGGCAGCCTGAACTCGTCTTCCTCCAAACTAAAATCTGAGAGATATTCTTCCTCTCCCTGGCAGGACTGCTTCCAAGAAACACAATTGACCTGTAAAATGAGCACAAGTTAGGGTAGCAGGCAGAACACACATTACGGTTATTTATTCTAAAATGTTACCATTTTTGCTCAACTTTCAGTATTCTTTGTTCCATGTTTGATAATTAATTCACCACTCTATTAGATAGCAGCTGCCACGGAATCAGTGATGACTCCAGAATTTCTGTAGGAAGGGTTTTAGGAGTTGGGCAATTCAGTCTAGGAGAGAATATGTGAATCAGAGAGAATAGCCCTTTATGTCAGCATGGGCAAACTTCCCCCATCCTGCCTTGGCTAACCACAAGCATTAACCTAGAAGTAACTACGCCACTTTTCAGAGGTCTATCCTGTGTGCACACATGGAGAAGACACTTAGGATCTTAAAGTCAGCAGGGTAAATAATTTTCTTGAAATACTACTATAATAGAACTCAATTGACTTAATTCACAACCTTTCCTATCTATTTTATGACTTGTTTATTGTTTACTACAACCAGTAATAAGTAAACTGAGAAGGTGCTTCATCTTTTTTCCCAGTGTCTAGCACGTGGCTTGGTGCATAGTAATGGTTTTAAGCTGGAAGTGATTCCAAGATTCACCTCATTTAGGGATGGACCTGTTGTTACAATTGTATTTCTCAAATCAGTGCTGACTTCCTTCCTCTCACATTTCACAGGGAGCTAGTATTCTTAACATTTGACATTACCTTCACTGGTTTTATTTAAGTAGAATTAAAATAATTATTTTACATGGAAAAAGCTTCAAAAACTTTTTCAGAATGCAACCACTTTCTCTCCCTTCTTCAAAACAAAACAAAACACTTTGCAACTCTGGAGCAAGTTAAATAATCAAAAATCTAGCTCCAAATTAAGTTCCCCCTAACACATTTTTTGCTCCTTAAAAAAAAAATCCTATACATAGTAAATAATGACTATTTTAGATATTACTTTAGCAACTTAATCCCTAATTAAAGGATTTCATATACAGTTATACATTGCTTGCCATGTGAGGAGGAGCTTGAAAAATGTATCACTGGGCAATTTTGTTGCTGTACAAACATGATAGAGAGCACTGACACAAACCTAGATGGTATATCCTACCACACGCCCAGGCTATATGGTATGGCCTATTGCTCCTAGGCTACAAACCTGTACAGGATGTATTGGTGCTGAATACTGTAGGCAACTGTAACACAATGGTAAGTATTTGTGTATCTAAACAGAAAAGGTACAGTAAAAATACAGTATAAAAGATAAAAAAAAATGGTACACCTGTATAGGGCAACCCATTACATTCTAATGGAATCACCATCACTTATGTGGTTTGTTGTTGACCAAAAGGTCGTTATGTGGCACGTGACTGTAATTGATCTACAGGAAGGATCTTCGGCAAAATATTCCATCCAAGATATTTAGGAGATGTTGAGCTCTAGGTAATAAGCCACATTTGAAAGGCATAATAGTTTTCGAAAGCTATAGCATAATAACACTTAAGACAATTGTTACTTTCTGCCCAAATCCCTGGGATCTTGTTTGAGGGGAGTTCTAAAAAGGCTTGTCTTCAAGCAGCCCAGAATCCCTAACCCCTGGTGGGAGAGACTAACCCCTCTCTTGTGTCTACAACAGTAGTAGTATTCTAATAGTCCTCAATTCTGCTCTCCAAACTTCAAATAAGGGGTCAGAGCCAAGGGCCAGGACTTCAGTAAAAGCCCCAGAAATACCCTGCACTCAAAAGCAGTTTCAGAGTTTCACATGTTCCTAAGAATGATACATGCTGAAGTCTTCCAAATCCTGCTGGTTGTTTTGAATTATGGCTACACTGGCTATGTTACCCTTAAGCTTTTCTCTCCACATACTTGAATTAAATCATGTAGTTCTTCTTCATTTCTGACATCTACGATCTCTTCACCGGGTTTGTATGCCACAGCTATTTTACCACTTTCTGAAATAAAGTTAACAAAGATTAATTCAGAATTTTTTTTTGTTCAACTTACTGCGTATAATGGTGGCACTCCATAATGAGAGATTCTTTTGATGTCTAAAAGCAGAAAATA